ACATCGCCTTCCTCCTCCTCACTTGGGACGACCTGCTCCTCCTCAGGTTCCCCACCGGTCGCCATGATAGCCCCGTCAGCTTCTGTAAGTCTGGCATGAAAAAAGCTTCTTAGGGAATCTAGTTGTGGAAGTTTTGTGGGGGAGGGGGTGTGTCAGTTTTGTCCTCTCAAGGAACTAGGAAAGGAAAGATCACCACATGCTAATACCTGGTGAGGAAAGACACACAGGGAAAACCCAGTGAGACTGTCCCAGCCACTGTTACCAAGACCCCCATTGTGTAAACAGTTCAGCCACAATATTCAAGAAATGGCCACATGAGGTCTTACACACACACACACACACACACACACACACACACACACACACGTGCGCACACACATACACCTTCTCTCTCTTCCAGGCAGAATACAGCTGGCCTTCTACAGGTCTCACAAGCTGTGGCCTCTGCCTCAGGCGCCATCCCACAGCCTATCAAGGAGCAGGAAACTCAGGAGCTTGTCCCAGACAAGCCTGGGCAGAACCTGCTGCCCCTTTACTTAAGTCCTGGGCTCACCAGGACAAAATGAGGGGGGCAATGCAATACCCACTGACCTACCTGTATCTCCACACCAAAAGGCAGTCTCCAAGGCCCTACAGACCCAGATGAAATGACCAGAAGCTCCAAGCAGTGAGTAGGACTAACCTTTCTCCTCTCTCTGGTGCTCTTCTCAGAGGGGCAGGACAGCTGCTAACAGGAAACCTTAGCTACCTGCTAAATTTAGCCTCTGGCCCCATAGCCTGGCAGAGATCTGGGAGAAAGGAATGCAGGCTCAGGACCCAGACCCCAAAGCAGGCCTCATTTAACTCTTTCCTTCCTGGCTGATTCTCTGGACACTGACAGGGGGCTGCATAATAAATTCACACTTTGTAAATGGAGATGCCTAAAGAAATGGTTTTCTTTGGTGTCTGGGATCTCTCTCGCCCGTACCCCTGATACTTCAAAGCCAAGGATCTGGAAGAATGCAACAGACTTAACCTTAGCTCCATGTCTGCTTAGAGGGGGCTGGAAAAATACCAGACATAGAAATTGAGTCCTCTGATATATGTTGGAGAGAACTATGGGGGACAAAAAGGTCATCCTTGCTTATGGCCAGGTTACACTTCTTTTCACAGAGATGACTAATAGCAAATTGGTAGTTGTTGTCTCCTACATAAGCCCTCCCCCACATTCATACCCCATTGTGATGGTCCCTCACAACCCTGGGTGATATAAAAATTCCACAAGTTGGGGCCTCCCTGGTGGTGCAGGGGTTAATAAGTAGCAGCACTATGAAGCTATCTGCAGCCACTGCAGCACGAGTTCGATCCCCAGCCAGGGAGGTGACACACATGGCGCAGCAGACCCCTCCTGTCTCACCCTCTGCTCCCCCCAGCAATGTATTTCAGTCAATCCGCCTGTTCTGTTCCCCACTCTGTCTCTGGTAAGTCCTCTCACTCCCCACACCTCAAGCCTGTATCCCAGTTTTTATATGCATAAATAAATAAATCTTATAAAAAAAATTCCACAAACTTCCTAAACTTCAAATGAGCTCATAACCCAGCCTGCATCACTAGCTCACCTCCCACCTCACTGTGAGCTAAGCAAAGTCCAGTGACCCAGTTGGTCACCCCTCATCCTACACACCCCTTCATCCATTCCTCCGTCCACATGTTTGCCTACCTATCCACAAATTTCTATTGATTGCCCGTTACATGTCAAGCGCTATAGTTGACCAAAGTAAAACATATACTTGCTTCAAATGATCTTTCTTCCTGGCTAGGCAGAACAATGCCAGGCACATTAAAAATTACCTGAATAAATGAATGAGCTCACAGTTTATTAGGAGCAATGAGACACAGATCAAAAATAACTCACACATAAGGCAGAATGTAGTAAATGTCCAAGAGAGAGCAGAGTGCTGTGTGAGTTCAGAGGAGGGCAAGAACCCTTCTGACTGAAGTTAGAGAAGGCTTTGTGGTAACGTGATAACAGCAGGTATGGTATGGTGGGGGGAAAGGATTCAGATGATTCGATATGGACAAAGTTTTGGAGTAGCAAAATTAGTTTCATATGGTGAATCTGTTACAGGGCAGGGAGAGGGGTACCCCAGACCCCGCAAACCTGCCTACTCTAAATGGGTTCTGCCATCTGCCACATCAACACAAAACTCATGAGACTTTAATGAAAAGGAACTTTAATACAATAAGAAACAATACAGGAAAGGCAAAGAATATAGTTTCTAAATCAAGCACCCAAAGTTACCCATCCCCTCGTGGGTAAAAGTCCACCCAAGCAGGATTGGCCCAGAGCAAGGCCCCAAAGCCTGCCACAAGTCTAAAGCATCTTCCAGTGGGAAACCACAGAAAAGGATGAGAAACAACCAGACAAGTCTGGAAGGAAAAGAGCAAAATCAAAATCAAGACAAAAACCGCCATTGTCACCTCCCCACAGGTCTCTCACCCACATCTGTGTCACCCAGTCCACGACCAAAAGGCAAGCGCAGTTTCTTCACTTGTCTCTTGGCTCCATGTGCCTCCTCCAGGTCTCCTTCTGGCTCTCCATTTTTCTTTCTTTCTTCCTCAGTCTCCTCTCCAGCTTCTTCTCTCCCTGTTCAGCTCCACCCTCCTTTTGGGTGGGGCAGGAAACCTGGAACCGAACCTCCCCCTTTCCTGGGGACCACCCTGTTAACAGTTCGAAAGCAAATATGTGTGGCAGAGACTTGGCAAGGCTGGGGTGGGGTCTCCTCTTGACAGAGTGGTCAAGGAATGATACTGGAATTCCTTGTATCAGCCAGGAAGGATGCCAGACCGCAGGGGCAGCGCTGAGTCCCAGCTACTAGACCACCACGGGTTGGTGTCTCACGAAGCCGCATCAGGAACTTTGCAGACTCTCAGGCAAGCAAGCGAGAAGAAGCAGGTTTGTTTAGAGAAAGAAAAAGTTTATTGAGGAGAAAAGGAACAGAAATAAAGTGGGACTCCCAGGCCCTGAAACCAGCCAGGGAGGGCCAAGGAAGCCAAAATGGAGTCGTGTCTCAGGAAATATATACCTTCTTTCCCTCATTATCTTAAAATTCCAGTGGTCTCTCCCTGGTTGGTTAGTTCCCAGGTGGCCTCACAGCTACTGAGCAGGGGATCTTCACATTCCTTATCTAACAGGTTTGTCTCTCCTCATTTGTTGCATCTTCTCCCTTGTTTGATAGATTTATCTTTATGACCCAGTCTCCCAGATGGGCATGCCTGCATTTCAAGGAAGAGAAAGTCAAACATCAGCTATTGAAGAAAAACAGGCTGGCGCCCACTGGTCTCAGTGCTGACCCCATCCCTCCTCCCCCTTGCGTAAATATCCCTGCACTCTGTCAAAGGGCAGGATGGTGGTCTCCCAGACACGAGTCTGCTGCCTTCCTCATTTGTCAACAAATTAAACCACTCTCTTTTTCCCCAAACTCCACTTCCCTTTATTGGCTGAGGGAAACTGAGGCTGGTGTTTGGTAACAATGTTGACCTTAGTCCTGGGATGTTTTTTATTCCCAGCGTAATTGGTTACATTCCTCTTGTTGCCCTTATCTGTGGAGTCTTCCTTTACTCTCCGAAGGTCCCCACCTGCACTGTCCTTGAGGCTGCCTAATTCTCCCTAACTTGCCCTAGGATTCAGGAAGTCATCACCAAGAAGTCACATGGCACCACCATTACCAGTCACCAAACCACCATCTTGGGTGTCAAAATAGGGACTTAGTAAGAGACCGTCATAGAAGGGAAGAGCTACCACAATGAGGAATCACTGAGGTTCAGTTTACACCCACAGACTTCAAGGTTCCATGAAGACATCATGTGGTATGAGAGAGAGGTGAGATGAGGGGCAGAGAAGGAGAAGAGATGGGAATAGGGCTGAGAAGAGCTGAAGGGTAACATCAGGCTAGCAAAGGCTCAAAATGATGGGCTCTCATGTAGGGAAGGAAGAGAGGCAGGCAGGTGGGAGGGGAAGATGGGGCACCCACACCCCTAAGAGAGACCACAGATAGGAGGGGCTCTCTCAGAAGAAGGTGACAGAGGACCTCTATCTTCTCTGTACCTCCAGTCACCACCCTGAGCTTGCAGAAAGCGACATCTGAGCCACTGGAGATTAGAAATCCGAAAACCACGTCCTTGCTATGTGACCATGGAAAGCTCATTGAATTCCTCTGAGACTCAGATCTATTTGTAAAATTATAGTAATAATCTCCCCATTTTGTTTTACCACTAGGTATAAAGCGGGTCCCTTCCTCAAGCCCCAGTTACATTTCCTGTATCATTTCCCAAGTGATGTTCCCAATGGCACTTATCATTCTGGAAGTAGGGCCGCCCCAATTTGCCTGGGGCATGGGCCAGTTCCAGGCAAATTGAATGTTGGCCATGGTATTTCTAAGCTAGTCTTCTCTGCACACTTGTGTCCTCTCTTTCACCCCAAGCAGACTGTCAACTCTCTGAGAGCAGAGACTCACTGTCTTCCACAAGACAGTGTCTCCAGCATGGGGTAGTGTGGAGGCTGTAGACAAGGAAGAGAAGTAGAGGAACAGATCATATTGCATCTTGAAGTGTTTCTATTATTGGAGACAACACCCTTCTTTTATTGGGCTTCAGAGGGTACGTTGAAATCATGTTTCTTTTTATGACATAGCAGTAATTTCGTATCTGCTATGGATAAGCCCACACCTTGTTGAGAAACCCAGAACTTTGTACACTTGCTAAGTGTAACACAGTCAGAGGAAGTGACTGGATCAGGAAAAGGTGGAGAAGGTCCCTGTCATTGCTTTGGTGGAGTAGGTGGAGTCTGGCTCCATAGGTGAGTTAGCCTGTCAATCAGGCCAAGGGGCAGGTGGGGCTGAGCTGAGTAGAAAGATAAAAACCAAGTCACCAACGGCTAAGCCAGATTAGAGCTTGCTTTGGCTTCCACCAGTGCGTCCAGTCTGTCTGGGCCAGGTTTGGAGCAGAGAGGAAACGAGACCATGGTGGGGAAGATATGGCTGGTGCTGTGGATGCTCTGTGGAGGTGAGTAGGCCCCCTCCCCGCCCAGTGTCCAGGCGTGAGGTGGACATAGAGGCCGAGCACCGAGGGGCTTCGTAATGAGGGCCTCCAGTGACATGGCCATGTTCCTATTGGGAAGGATGATGTCTTCTGTGGCTCGGGCTGCAGTTTCCAGGCTGGAATCAGAATTTTTTTTCACATATTAGTAAGTAAAATTCCAGCTCATTTCTAGAATGAAGAATTCATATATTCTCAAGGCCATATTTCCTGGTCCCAAATCAGACATAGGATCCAACATAAAATCTGATGATAGGGACAAAACATTTGACATCAGGGTTGTCCCAGAAAATGCAGGTTGTGTGGATTAGACATGTCTACTATGTAGGATTTTATCTGTCACCTTCACACTAGAGAAAGAGACAGTGGTAAGTGATACACCTGTTTCACATGCAGGGAAACAGAGGCAGAGGACAATGCAATATATCCCTTATCATGCACACTGCAAAAGTAGACTCAAACCCCTCAAAGCATCCAAAGAGCAAGAGCCCTTCTGAGGAGCATCATTGAATACTCAGAAGAAGGAAAACCCCACAAAATAGAAATAAGATATTCCCCAGGCATCTCTTCCTCTCCCCTCTCTCAAAGTCTAGCCTCAGAGTCCTTGGGTGGAAGGTGGCCCATGATAGGTGAGGGCTGGATCAGCAGGCTGGGAGGTCAGCCTGAAAAGGATGGATTGGCTCAGGCTGGAGGTCCCTCAGGGGGTGCATCTGACAGGAATCAGAGGGCCCCTTGTCCTCAGATTTGAGTTCTTGGTTCATTCTTCATCCAAACAGCTTTTGTCTGACACATAGTTTGTGCAGACCCCAGAGCAGCAAAGGTCTCAAATGAGCACAGTCATGGTGAACCTGCCTCAGCCATCAGATGCAGACAGGAAGGATGCTTCCAGCCTGGAAGGGGAGAAAGCCAAAAGGAAGTGTCCCTCCTTGTCCAGTCAGCCTGTGATGCTTTGATCCTCTTCTTTAGAGCCAGAAGTCTTTTTGCCTCCTCCCACACCCCCAGGACATATTCCACGCTTGAATAATAAGAACAGATTAGGGCTTGAAAAAAAATAATACTCTTATCCAGCCTAGAACAAGTGGCCTTAACTCTGGGTTGCCTGCAGGGTGCATTTACCCTCTTCCTGTGAAAAGGCATGTGACCTCTGGATGAACTCCTCCAGAGAAACCAGTTTTGGGGCTTTTGTGCAGACCAGAACCGCCCCTCTCCCCTCCCAGCTCACCCAGCCCAGAATCACATGTCTACCACCTTTGCTTCCTTACCTTACACCCAGGGGAAGGGGCTGGTACCATGGGCAGAGGAAGCCTGGCGCAGTGGTCAGCTTGGGGCATATTTGCCAAGTGGAAACATTTGGGGGTGAAATCGGCATTGCCATGTGCCAGTGCACAATGAGGGCCTTCAAAGGCCAAACCTAAAAGTATCCAGGTGGTCCTCCCCACAAGCTCATGAGAAGACACCAGGGGAGAGTGGGAGGACTTCCTGGAGGAAGTAAAGCTGAATTGGGTTTCAGAGGACCTACTGGCCTTTGCCTGCCTTCCTTTCTCCATCAGGACTTGCCCAGTAATGGCTTAGGTTTTGCTGCTGGCCTGAGCAGAGCAACACCAGGCTGCTGAAAAAAGGCCCCAGGGTTCAACAGCCTACGGGGAGGTAGAAGCTGTCACATAAGGTCACGTGGGAGGGACAACAAAGAAGGGGGTGTATTTGAGAATTTACCTGACAATTCTAAACACCTTCAGTGACACACTTGTCCCTCCAGGTACACTGCTCCCACCATCCCATGGGCCACCCTACCGCCAGCACAGGCACTGGGGAGGGGGCCCTCTGTCGTAACTGACTTTACTGGGGGGACAAATTAGTTCAGTTTGCTAAACTTCAGTCTTCTGATCTGTGTGGAAGGAGGAAAGTGTAACTATAAAGTGTGGAAATCTACATTGTACCTCCTATAGGGTATCATGAATAGCAAACAAGTGTGCAGATATAAAGATCTCGGAATAATAAGCATTCGGTTAAGGTCAGGAGCTCCCTGGGGTCTGCCTAGTCAAAGTGTAGCATAGCTGAGCCTGGTGTCACTGGCATGTCGATGCCCCATGTGGTGACCTGGTCCCAGCTGTCAGGTTCACAGGACTCATGGGATGAGAATCAGGTAAAAGAGTAGCCTCGTGCCACTTGACCCTAAGAGGGTGGGATTCAGACCAGAGCCAGCAAGTGCACTGCAAGATGGGCAGCCAGGCCCTCCATCTTCTCTGTGGCTGTGGGCCCCATGGCCACTCCATTCCCCAGAGCCTGGCCCACCCCTGGGGCCTGGACACTACCTGCTGATCCATGAGCACAAGCCAGAAGCCAGGGCATCCACCAGGGCAAGTTGTACTGTCTGCCTCTCTAAGATGCTAATAGGGCTAAAATGCCGCAATCCAGCCCTAGTGTGGGGGTGTGGTGAGCCTAAGATAGTGTGTGTTTAAAGGGAGAGAGATGACGGTAAAGGGCAGCGGCTATCAGCCCTGGCTGCCCATCAGGATGGCCTGGGGAATCCAAGTATAGATGCCCCCAGCCCCAACCTTCTGTATCAGACTCCTGAGGGCCAGAATCTGGGCAATGCTCTGATTTTTTTTTTTTCTTAAGAATTATTTATGTGTGCATACAAGAACTGGGTACAGGCCAGAGGCATGGGGGGTGAGAGGATTCACCAGAGACAGAGTGGGGAACAGAACAGGTGGATTGACTGAAATACACTGTTGAGGGGAGCAGCGGGCGAGTCAGGAGAGATCTGCTACTCCATGTGAGCAGCTCCCTGGCCGGGGATCAAACTGCAGTGGTTGCAGACAACTTCATAGGTTGCAGCTTTAACCCCTTGCGCCACCAAGGAGGCCCCGATGCTCTGATTTTGAAAGCTACCTACCAAAGTGATTCTGGTGTGCGGTCTAGATTTAGAGCCACCCACTAGAGTTTGGGGAAGAGTGAGTTTCGTGAGCCACCTCCTGTATCACCAGGACTTGCTGCTCAGTTGTGCCCACCTGCCTGCTTCTCCGAGTGGCTGTAAAATTTCCCTCAATGGCATGTATTCTCAACCTTCCATGCACACGAGTCACCTGGGGATCTTGTTAAAATGCAGACTGATTCAGTAGGTCCAGGACTGCACTCGAGAGTGTGCATTGTAGCAAGTGTCCAGGTGAAGGTGATGCTGGTCCAAGGATGCAAGTTTGAGAAACAAGGTCCCGGGGAAGAGCTGGTTCATGGACACAGATGGATCCTCATTTTGGCTTTGCAAACCAGAGCCCCATCCCAGGCTTCTCGGTAACTCAGACTACTGAAGGCACTTCTGGTCACCAGGGGGCTGGAGGGGGAGTTGTGTGGCCCAGCATGTGTGTGTGACTGGCCAGGGCTGAGTCTGCTCTTCCTGAAACTCTGTCCTGTTGCTCCCCCAATACACCCTTTCCTGGTTCTCCTCCACATCCCTGGCTTCATCTTTTTGTGTCCTCTGAAGCCTCATTCTCTTCTACCCACCATGAAACATCAGAATTGCTCCCACACAGACCCTCTTCTATTTTCACTCCAGATCTGTATCTTTAGTTGACAACCATTGCCAGTGACTCAGCCTGCACTAAAACTCTCAAACCTCAAAGTCTTTCCTGAGCTACAGATCTACAAGTGCGAAAGCCCACATGACTTCTCGGCTTAGCTGGCTCAGAAACATTCAAACCACAAGCTGAAAACCATCACATGATCTTTGTCCACAAACCTAGGTTGTTTTTCATGTTCTTTACTATAATAAATGACATTCCACTCATCCAGGAATTAAAGCCAAAACCTAGCAGTCATCTGTCACAGTTTTCTATTGCAATATAATAAAACACCCCAAAATGTTGTGACTTCAAGCAAAAATAATCAGTCTTTGCAAATGTTCAATTTGGATGGGGTTGGCAGAGGCAGGTCGTCTTAGCTCCATGCTGTGTCATGGAGACTTGATTGGGATTGGAAGACCCCCTTCTAAGAGTGTGCCCTCAACAGCTGGCGAGTTGGTGTTAACTCTGGTTCCTTTCTTTGTGGAGCTCTCCGCAGGGAAGTTGGGCTTCCTCACAGCATGGCAGTTGGGTTCTAAGAGACAAGACTTGGAAACTGCCAGTTTCTTTTGGTCTAGACTCAGGAACTGACCCAGTACCCTTTCCACCATGATCTGTTGGTGCAGCATCACAGAATCCAGACTCAAAGGAGGGAACATGACACCCACCCCTGGATGAGAGGAGTTTCACAGTATTCTGGGGCTACATTTTACCATCTCCATATCACCCTTGACATCTCTTTCTCCCTCAACTACAAATTCAAATCATCATTTGAGTTCTCCAACATCTCTTGATTCTTTGCATTTTTCTCTGTCTCTTCTAATTAAGTTGCCTCTCTTAAGCTACTTCCATGACCTCTAACTGGCCATGTGAACCATTTTTTCCCCTTCTCTGATCTGTTTTCCACCTTGGAGCCAGAATAACCTGCTAAAATAAAAAGTTATGACTATGTCAGTACTTCTACTTAAAGTTCTTCATTAATTTCCCATCACTATTAGGAAAAAGACTTGAACTGTTGTCATGCATGTTAGACTTGGGCACATCCCACATTTCTGGTTATGCTGGCAGTGACTCCAGAACTGCTATGCAAGAGAGAGAAAGAGGAGGTGGCCTGTTTGAAAGAGAGAAGGTAGTGCGGTTTGTCCTAAATGTCCTTGAAGGACCAAGTACAATGCTTCTATTTGGCCTGCAAGTTTACCTTGCAGGAGTCAAGACTTCAGAGGTTAAAGAATATCAGACAGGTGTCACACACTCCCAAACCATGCCCTTGGTGCTATTGCTACGTCCTGGCTTGGTTGAGCATCTGTAACATGCCCCATCTTGTCTCACGCCCTCACCTCTGCACAGAGCTCCTCTGTCCCCACCCACCTTTTCCTGGTTCTCCTGCTTACTCCCCAGTCTGCTCAAAAG